TGGAGTACCTAAAGTGCAAAGTGCAAAGTAAATTCCGCGGCTACCGAGTAATTCTTAAGGTGCAAGGTTTTTTCAAAGTGCAACAGGATATTAAAGTGCAACAGCCTCAGCAAAAAAATATTTGGCCCTCTATACTACTAAAGTGCAGCAGGAGGAGTTGGGAGTTGGGAGGGGAAAGTGCAACAGTTGATAAAGTGCAAACAGTTGGCTACGAAACAGGCGCCACTAAGCGCTATATTATGTTCTTATTACCACATTAGCAGTGGAGGTAGGGTGGACTATACCATGCAATGTTCGCAGAATATACACAGTAGTCAGGAGACTGGACGTTAGTAAAGTGCTATGATTCAGATGTAAGTAGCTGACGTTTGGTGTAAATTAGCGGATGGACCTCCGGAGGTGGTCAACACGGTGGCGGACAGCTCAGATGGTCTATCTTCAGTTAAATTACACAAAAGTAAAACCGTCGGTCTACAATTACAACCGTCGGTCTACACAAGAGCGGTTCGCCTCACTGAATCTATACCAGTCAATCTGCACAAAAAATTGGTCACCACAGTGGACCGCAATGATTGAACAAGAGAGAAAGGGGGGACCACCGCTTGGCCAGTGGTGGGGATCAGATGAAAAGGCAGTAGGGCCTGGGCAGAATAGGCAGGAGGAGAGCCTAATTGGCCCAGCGGCCGAGGGAGACGAACAAGTCCAGATGGTTAGGCCACAGGCCGAAGCCACACGGCAGGGGAGCGTCTCTCTTCGGCTCAGTTTGGCCAATTAGCCTGCGGCCCAGCAGCTTGCTCCGGCCCCTAGAGGGATCCTCGCCGGCAACTGGTGGTATCTTCGCCAGGGAGTCTCTCATTGAACGGCCCGGCTCACACTGCACGGCCAGCCGGTCGGCAGCTGCGGACCAGGCCGCGCCCCCAAGACCCCCAAGATCCGGCCGAGCCCGGCCAAGTCCTCACCGGGCCCAAGGGGCCCCAACACCGAGGCTTTTCCAGGAGAATGAGAAAGAACCAACCGCGCTGTATCCCTCGTGGCGCGACTTTCCCCCCGGCTGCACTCGGTGTACTTCTCTCTCGGCCACAGCAGCGATAGGGCCTGGAGACGGGCAAAAATGGCGGCCGTAACGGCGGCCGCGATGGTACTCACGCCAGGCCAAATAGAGCTCACTCAGCGGTCCCAGACTCAGGCGACGGCGGGCCCGTCGGCCGGAGACGCCCAGGCAGTCAGCTAGCCAGAAGCCTCTCTCCCTCGGCCGCGATAGCAACAGGCTCTGAGGTAGGCAAGATGGCGGCCGCGACGGCGGCCGCGATGGAATTCACGCCAGGCCGGACAGAACTCACGTAGTGGCCACAGGCCTAGGCGGCGGCGGGGTCGTCCACAGGAGGCACCCAGGCAGCCAGCTAGCCAGGAGGTCAGCAGCGCTGGTAAGTATCTTCCTTAGGGAGCCGTTTGCAATCGCGGCGCTCCCTTCCTCCGCCTCCTGCCTCCGCCGCCTCTCTCCGTCTCCTCAGCCTTAGTTCTTTCAGGCTCTTTGGGCTTTGTTGGGCCTCAGCGCCTCGCCCTTTGGTGCCGGTCTCGCTCCCCCCCAATTTTTGATGGTTCAAGGGGGGGCTTCCCAGGATTTCTTGGGATTCTGTGCAGATGGCTAGCGCAGCTCAGCGTTGCCGCTGCCGCCCGCCATCACCGGAACCGGAAATAATCATACCTACGGAACTCCCCATCTCACATGCCATCCAATGCCTTATGTTGATTAGACAGGAATAGAGAAGCATCTGGCTATGCCCCTGTGGCCAAACACAAAATGATTACAATAGCACTAAAATCTGGCAGGGTCTTCCAAAGGTTTTGGGTTAATGTAGTACTATACTAAGACTCTTCTCTGATCTTTCCTGTTCCACACAATATATCAAATGACCATGTCTGGCAAGTGGGGGGGAGGGTGTTGGAACAAACTTTGGAGGCTATACAATAAATCTAGGACACTCTCTGTGCTGTGGAAGAAGGGAGTGAATATCAACCCACACAGTACCCCCAAAGAGACATGTGCAGGTGTCTCTGTGTGTCCCTAATAGAATGACAATATTGAGACCTGTGAAGCTGGTTTCTTAAACCTGCTCCAAAGTGGATTGAATGTCTGTCTGGAACTGCCCCGAGGCAGCATATTCAATTGCCAAACAGCTTTACTTTTAGGAAACTCTTCCTAATGTTTAGGTGGAACCTTCCTCCATTCCCCCCTGAAATTTGAATCCATTACTCCATGTCCTAGTCTCGAGAGCAGCATAAAATGAGAGCTCAATGTCACTACACCTCATGCTATTAAATGAAAGAAAAGAAATGGTACCACTCTGTCACTAAGGAGTCCCATTCCTAACTCTAGCATGAAAATGTGAAGTTTGCTTCCAAAAAGTAGCTAGCAATGTGTTTCCATTGTAACACATTTTTAGGTTGGTTTTTTTAAAAAAATTGGTACCTTTTGGAAACGAGCTTCACAAATGGGGAAACTCCATGTTCTTTTGCCCTACCAACCCAGCTCTGATGACACAATCATACCCACATAAAGGCCTATCATAATAAAATTAGTGGATATTTATAGAAGCAGTGAGTTCAATATATATCCAGGTGTTGAGCTTACACAATTTATTTATGTGTAGTTGGTAGCAAAGCTTGTGAAGAAAGCTAAAAGCAGGTTTTCCTGGGGTTTCATGTAAGCAAGGAGCTGTAGAATTAAACTTTAGAGTTAGAATTGTGTTGGAGATTGATTACACACTGATGTAACCAGCCAGTTGTACAAATGTTTGACTTTTTACTTAGGAGGCATCCAAGATCATGGTGCTCCTAGAAAGGACCCAAGGACATAAATCTACATATTTCCCACCTATTTTAGTTCTCTGATTATTATTTTAGTTATGACAGCACACAACACTTAATAATATTCTGATTTGAACCTACTAAATTTAGCTTCAATTCAAAGTCTTATTTCCAAGAGTCCCATGCCTCTGGATACAACTGCCAACAATGATCCAGCAAACTGTAGTATTTCCCAGGGCCTTAGAGTCTATATTTGCATTTCCTATGGCATAATGGTTTCTTTCTCTACTTCTCATCCAAATACGCAGATCAAGGTCATTCATTTCTAACACAGAGCTTTCAAGAACTGGATGATAAATCAACTTGAGTAAATTATTTGGCATAAAATTATCCCTCTTCCTAGCAGCTTCAGGAAGAGAGGTGAGTCGGAGCGATGTACTGCCAACGTGAACTGCAGCAATAAACAAGCAAGACGGTTAGTTATCAAACTAAGAAAATTATACAGCCTACAAAGAACTGGAAGATTTAATCCCCCTTTCCTCTCTCCTGTTCCCTCAATTGGGGATGTACTGCAGGGAAGAAAAAGATCTCTAGCACTTTGGCCTTAAAATGTTATCTGCCATTTACTAAGATTTCCATACTAATTATTGCTTGTCTCTGTGACTCAGATAAAAGAGCTATTCATGTTGCTATTAAGTCAGTGAAAAATGACACTTAATTTACCAGACACAGGCATATTTCATACCTAGAACAACAGCTGGACCAATGAAACGAGCACTTGTTGGCTAGCATCCAGCCAACTGGAATTCATTTTTTGGCAATTGGAATTCTTTAATGACCATGCAACAACCAAAAATCACCTCTTCTCAAGCCGCATTTCAATGCATCCTCCCCTGGCTAATGGAAAGTGGGAAGAGTGGTAGAGAAGCATCCATCTACAACCCTAAAGTTGGATGCACAGCAATCTAATGGAAGTTGTTTGAAGGTCCCTGAGAATTAGCTCATTGCTGTGCATCATTTTCTTATGCTGCTATGTAAAAACATAGCTGCATGTCATCATGCCACATTCCCCACTCTCTACAAGGCAATAAATGGCTGTATTATGGTCAAAGTTAAAACAGATATTAAAATTAGAGGCAGATGACTGGAGATGAAGCATATTGCAATTACTGATGTGCGCTATGTGTCTTGATCCAAATTTTTTCTCGATGTCTTAATTGCCACATTAGTAGAAAGAAATAGTTGTGGTAGTAAAATTCTGTTGGGTTTCCTATTGATCAAACAGTAGCACATCTTATTGTCAAATGCTTTCATGGCTGGAACGCTGGGGTGTTGTGTGATTTCTGGACTGTATGATTGTGTTCTAGCAGCATTTTCTCCTGATGTTTCACCTGCACTTGTGGTTGGCATCTTCAGAGGATCTGATTGTGGTGTATCCAGTGGAGTTTATTAATACCTGTGAAGTGCCCAATGTGGGAAAAATAACCAATGTCTATTAACCAAGTGTGAAAGATGCAATTAGCAAGTTGAACTTGCAAATCTTTGAGTGGGATCCCTCCATTAGTATATGAGTAACTTAGAAGATTGTATAGTTTATAGTGTGGAGATCTGCCTAGAAGTAGCCTAGTCTTTGTTTCCTCTGAATTGTTTATTGCATGGAGACATCCTTTGTCTGAGTGGTGTTCACTAGCCCTTGATTGCTTGCTGCCAGGAGACCTCCTGTGTGGGTGGTGTTCATTAGTTACTGACTTGATTCTAGTGTTTTTCAATTCTGGCAGTCACATTTTGTTCATTTTCACGTTTTTTTCCCCTTTCTTTTGAAATTGTCCATGTGCTTGTGGATTTCAGTAGCTTCTCTGTGTAGTATGAAAAAGTGGTTGTAGAGTAGTCCAGAATTTCTGTGTTCAGATGATGAAGAAACAGAACCTACAATCTACAGAGCCACTAAGAAGATTCAACAAATGTTATGGTCAGCAAAGGAGAAGAAGGGCCCTCTAACCACTGCAGGTTTCTATCGCATACTGTAGCTGTGGACAAGTCTACATAGGAACTACCAAATGCAGTACCCAGACATGAATCAAAGAACATGAAAGGTACTGCAGACTACTTCAGCCGTAAAAATCAGCAATGGCAGAACAAATGATAAACCATGCTAGGCACAGAATGTTATTTAAGAACATGACACAATTTACCTTGAAGGCTCTTTTGAACTTCTAGTGCAATATCCAGGGCATTAAAAGGCAAAACGGGACTGGTTGCAATTTGCAAAATTGCTTCTCCTGTCATCTGAAAATAAAAATAACCAGAGTCCATCAAATGTATATTAACACAAAATAGACATTTAGCCTCAACTAATTAATAGCCTTTGAGCACCTGTTGAATACTGAATCAGTGCAAATGATAAATGCCTTGATTGAATGGATATATTCTTGATGGGACTACCTGTAGCATTCTAGCCACAATATCCATTGTGTGGAGCTAATCAACTACAAAACCTCATCTTTCACTGCAGATGGAGAAATATAATAATAATAACATCATCACCATCATCATCAACAACATCATAACCTTTATTTATAACCCTCCCTATCTCTTCTGGGGGACTCAGAGCGGCTACTTAACAAAATAATGCATGATTTTATACATTATCAGAATAAATATTCATATTCATAGCTGTCAGAATTGAGGTCCCAAACAATCACTGAATGAGGTAAAGATATTGCTTGGAAAACAATCCAAAGCAGAATCACTGTTAGTTCACACCTAAAATACAGACTCACACTCACTGTTCTCATGTGTTAACTTTTAGTTTTTATCATTATTATGCCAGTATCTACCATAGAGCTGTTAGGTCATGACAGAGCTGTCAGGTCACCTTGATTAATGTTCTGCCTTTTCACTGATGAATCAATTGCAGTTAAATACAAGAATAAATTACCAAGAAGTATCGAAGGATTAATATTTAATAAAGAATAGCTATCATTGAATGTTAGAAGGAAAAGTTAGCATTAGTATTTTCTTTTCCATTTTCCATTTCAGTAATGCATTGGAACAAAAATATAGAAAAGTATGGATTAATATGTAGCTTTGTTGTAATCTCACTGGTTAAAACTGTCTTAAAGCAACTATCCAACCAAATGTAGTTTATTACCATTTAAGAAAGTGAAAGCGTGCATTCATATACACAAGGAAGCAAAGTAAAGCTAAAAAGGCTGATATTCCTCCTTAAATTAATGGCCTCTTGCAGAGTTCGCTGGGAAAGAGACTGAGAAAGCACAGAATTCTGAGAAATGTAGTTCGGGAAGGTGAGGAGCCCTATACCAGAGAATTCAAAATGCTCTGCCCTAAACTACATTTTCCAGAATTCTGCTCAGCTCAGCATCAGAAAGCCCCAATCAGGATAAGGGAGATATTTGACCCTCTGTAGCAGCAGCCAGCCAGAGTTCCAATAAATTGTTGAATATGCAAAGAGGAGGACTGACTGATAGTTCTAGTAAGTAAATCTCTGTGCTGGGCTGGGAAGAAATCTCTAAATGGAAGTTCTGTTGGTTAATATGAGAGACATTCAATGAGCTAGCTGATGTGTTTTTTTTTAAAAAAAACCTTTTGTTAAAACTTTAAAAAATTCTCTAAAATCAGATGTATGAATATTTCTGAAAGTTGGGAGGAATGATCCCCTTTTATCTTGTGTACAGAAAATTCAAGATTGCTTTTGTAGGTTTTTTTTAAAAAAATGTTGTTTATAAAATCCTTGAAAATTCCTCAAAAGTCCATGCATAAGTGAAATGTTCTGAAACTTGATGGGCTAGCAGTGGTAAATATGTTTTATCATTGTAGCACGTTTCACCCAAAGGTGTAAAAATGAGGTAGAAAAGAGTCCCTGAAGTTTCTCCACTTGCACAATTATAAAAATGAAAAAGCAATGAAATGCTCTTGCTTTCATTATAGTAACAAAATTTTCATTAACTATACTTTAGAAACACTTTAGAAACAAAACATCGGCACCCCCAAGTTTTGTTATGAGTTTTCAAACATTTTTATCAATTGCACAGTCCTAATGCTTACATATGAAGCTTCATATGGCTTTAAACTGGGGTATCTTGACCAACTGCAGTTGTATTATCTGGGGGGCAACCTTCTGTAAATGGTTAATGAGATGGGATGAGCAATGACATGAAATCATGGTTTCTTATTCATTGTGTCTAACGTGTGGATTTCTTCCTCAGTTCACACTTCTGGTGAATTAAAAAAATATATTTTTGCTGACATCTTATTTGGCTTAATATTTAATTCACAACTCATTTAGGGTTTTACTATTATGCTGTTTGAAGGTTTGTTTTAAAGTTCTGATAAGTGGAAATACAGATAGACCCATTCCAAGCGAAAGAGCAAGAACTGCAAGGAGAATTTCAGTATTCTTTGCTTCAGGTATAATAAAGAAAATCCCATGAAGCACTCTGTTTGGTAAAGAACTTCAGAACGTCAAAAAATAATAATAGTTGTTATCTAGAACAGATGCAGCTGAAACAATATCAAAAGCTAAAGTTTTCTGGTGAAGGGAAAGAAAATAAACTCAGTAGGGTTTCTTAAAAGCCCTTAAAGAAATTTGGAGCAAGACACACCCACAGTACAGAAAGACAAAGAACACACCATATATCAACTTGAAACCCACATCCAAGCAAGGGCAACATCTAAAATGGTTGAAAGTGATAGCTAAAGGGGGAAAATACCACAGAAGATACTGAGAAAAGAGCTGTCATCTTCTGTGAAGGAAGAACAAGGAGGCAAAAGGAAGCTCTGCGGAAGAAATGAGTTAATGTTACCTGGAAGAAAACTGAAAAGTTAGACAGGCATTTTAAAAGAAAAAGAAGAAAATTGGCAAAGCAGCAAATGTTGCATTCAGGTCAATAGCACGGCTAGTTTGATGCCGAAATGGTGAAACTCTTGATCTGAATTTTCAAAATACTAATCCTTTGTAGCATCCCTTCCATTAGACTAGATTTAATTATCCAATTTATGAACACACACACATGGAATCTATTTTCAAAGCATCTTGCTCTACATGGAATCTTCCTCCACCAAGAATGAAAAAGAAAGATATATCACAGTGGTTTTCAACCTTTGGGTCCCCAGGTGTTTTGGCCTACAACCCGCAGAAATCCCAGCCAGTTTACCAGGTGTTAGGATTTCTGGGAGTTGAAGGCAGGTTTTCAGAATCTTGTAAATCTTACCCCTCAAAAATGGAATTGAAAACTTGCTCCTTAAATGACAAATGGCAGTCTTGGACTGGTACAGAGTTATAATTTTATACAAAATATGAAAATCCCCATCCTCTAAAAACAGATGGGACAGTAGTTTCAATTTCACTTTTGGTTATGCTGTGGCAGATTTTCAGACTGATGTCCATGGAGAAAGAGACTGGGCTCCAGAGTTGCTCACATTTGTTCTACTGAGATCAACTTGCGATTTTAAACCTAATTTGATTTCTATTTGTTTGGAACAGTAGATATGTTGTCATTAAAATGACACATGATTTTAGTGGGAGAATTGTGTGTGGTACCAATGCTTAAATTGTACTCTGTAAATAAATAACAGAGATATAACAGAGGAGTACACAACTAAAACAATTTGCATGTTTCTTGATCATGTCCCTCAGCATATTGCATTGCAAACATATGCTGTGTTATATGTGTTTTAATGTAGTAATTGTAATATTTATTAAACCATACATGAAGGATATGAACTTAGATAAATCAATCAGTCAGAGGGAAGCTCAGAACATTGATTTTGAGCAGGGTGAGTAATAACTCTACAGAAACATATATCAAGTCCACATAATGCAGTGAGGTGGGAAAACACACTGCTTTCTTATATATGGCCTCATTTTAGCTGTCCCAGTGAACATATGTGCAAAATAAACATAGACCCCCCACCTACATTCCGGTATAAAACATTTTCAGGATTTCCTTTTCTAGAATTCAAGGCTATTGGACATACTGGTAGGGAACAGTGAGAGCTGGAGCAAATTTGTAAGTCCAAAGTTTGTGAACCGATGATGTGACATTTCTGGGAAGAAATCAAGAAATTTCAGTTCATGTTATCATTCAACCGTGAACCTCTGTGGTGACTTGGACCAATTATGCAGCAATAGCTATTTCACAATGTCACTGATGAGGACAAAATAATAGCCAAGGAATATGTGCCATCCCAAATATTTTAGTCAATGTGCTGAAACTGATAAAAGCTTTATTATTATTATTATTATTATTATTAAACTTTATTTATACCCCGCCACCATCTCCCCAAGGGGACTCAGGGTGGTTTACATAAGGCCACGCCCATCAGCACAGTAACACAGTATTACACAAAAACACACAAAATTAAAATATAATAACATAAAATACAGAACCAATACAAATAAAAGGTGGAACGATATAAACTCAGAACATTAAACACTGAAAATGAACACAGTGGGCAGGGCCAATTCAAAGATTAAAATTTAAAACCACTGAATGATAGGGCAATGTAATATATCAGGACAGGAGATCTAGGGGATAAGGCAAAATTTAATTTCATATACCAGAAAATAAAGTGCTACTGAGGGCCACTGTATTTAAGATGGTGGTTGACAATTGTCATATATAGAGCAGAGTTGGGGCAGATGTGGACCATATGTTGTGGGCTATACAACCAAGGTCATTTTTGCATCCACTAATGGCCCCCTGGCTCACCTGGACCAAAATTAGAGGGGGATGCCTCCTTGTATTGCTTCCAAGTTGACTATTGTATTGTTCTAGGGTGCGTCTCCATGTGCCATTTGCCCTAGGGGAGTATGCTGCTGCCCCCTTGGTGCCAAATCAGGTTTGTCACCCATCCCTGACCTAGGCTATACTGAGAAATCTCCACTTTGCATTTTGAAGTAGAATCTAATAACAGCTCTAAAGTGATCCCAAAATACTTAAGTGGGATACATTAATATTTTCTGATCTAGTATGTTGTCATTCTTCATCCTAGATATCTTCCCCTATCTTATATTAGTTCTACAGGTAATCACATCCAATATTATACATTATGAGGATTATATTACAACATTAGGTAGCTATTTTTGGGGTCTACATCTCCAAAAAGCCTTTGGACAATATGGACACCATGGATGCTGATGAGGTTCTGGGGAACTATATGTCAGAACTATACCAAGTTCTGAATTCAGCTATGTGTTAAAGTCATCAAGAATAAGCAAAGAGCAATGCAAATAAATAGGCTAAACACAAACAAAGAAAAACGGA